TGGAGAAAGAAAGCAAAAACTCATGTATAAGGTCCTTCCGGTTTGGGGAGCCCCGGTCTGGGACGTGGAATCAGGGCAGGAAAGCAGGTCAGGAGCCCACTCTGTGCTCTTCTATTGTCCATGTGCCATCGCCCACTGATGCCCCTGGATGAGCTGCTTCTGTTGTCACCCGCCCCAGAGCACGTCACGTGCCGCCCTGCCCCGCACACCAGCAGCCCCGAAGCTCTGGGCCAGGGAGGGGGTGACTGGCCAGGCCTGGGGAGGCCGAGAAGGTGAATCAGGGCATTTTCAGTGTTGACACTTGGGAGTTAGGTTCCAACTCCCAGAATACACACAGGTAACTCAGAAGTACGTTTTTAAACTTCTGAACAGGAAACTTCTACAATCACGTCTTAACTTTAACAACTAAATCATGCCGCGGCCAGATAATACGCCTGGTACGACATCGATTCCTTGAAACAGAGAACTTGCTTCATGGACCAGGCAGTCAGTTCTCGTTGCTGCTCCAGGTGTGGGTGGAGTCTGCACTCTGTTCCCAGTCACACCGCTCTGTGTCCTTAGATCAAGCTCATCAACTCTCATCTAGACCTTCCGTATCCACCGGAATTCTGCCGGCTGTTTCTAGGCCTCAGAGAGGCACCAGAAATCCTCCGCTTTTGTCTGTGAGCGGATTTCCCCTGGGAGACTTGCAGCTCCATCACTGGGGGCGTCAGAATCGCTCTGCCCGCCGGGGGCGCGGAGCCCCTCCATCCCGCCGTGACCTACCTTACCCTCCCCAGTGCTGTTTATCCTCTGGTCTGCTCTGCCCAGTACAGCCACACCAGCCTTTGTTACAGTGTTTCTCAACTGGAGCTCAGTCAAAAGAGTTATTGACGGATTTACTGAAATATTACTCAGGAGCCATGACATCCCCGCCCGGGGTCCTGTGCATCTGCAGCGGTTCTGCCTGCCCACACGTGTGCGTGGAATTCCACCGCCTCACTGGGCATCTTCCATCGCCTCGCTGAGTCGTAGCTTCTAGGCTTGTCTCCCGCCTTCTCCTGGACTGACGTCCTCCAGCCCACCCCGTCTCCCCCTTCCTCCGAGCATGGCGCACACTGTGCTGAACTTCCAGCCCGCATCTATTGTTTTCCACTAAAGATTTTAGAGAAACAGCAGGAGCGGGAAGACCAGAGAGAGAGCAAGACAGAATTTCAAGCAGACGCCACGCTAACGGTGGAGCCTGATGTGGGGCTGATCAGAGGACCCTGAGATTAGGATCTGAGCCAAAACCAAGAGTCAGGTGCGCTTGAATCACTGAGCCCCTCAGGCAGCCCCCAGTGGGCATCTTAACTCTTTTCAGGTGCGTTTACACCTTTAGGTCTAATTTTTGCTCCTCTTACAAATCAACTCAGGATAACTCTCTCCAAGTCACAGGCAAGGTCGGCTCCACCCTCTGCCAGTCACCTGAGGCCAATGCCACCTTGGACTTGGGCTACAGCAGTTTTGAGTTTCCTTCCTTCCAGGTGAGTTTTGGGCTGACGTGGACAGTCCCAAAGGCCATTCTTTCCTGGCTCCTGTCAACCCGGGAGGGGAAGAAGGAGCCAGTGAAGTGCCCCCACCAGAACCCTCACGCCCTCCACGCCTCCCTCACCCTGCCAACTTCTGGGGAGCTTTGCAGCCTTCCGAGAGAAGGCTGGAACCTGGACCCAGTCACCTCTTTCCAGGCTCTGAAGGATCTAGGTCTCTGTTCTCAACAGCACTCCTTTCCTTTCTCGTATGGGAACGGAGCCCTCACAACCAGCTTGCGGGGTGAGCCCGCAGAGCACCGCCCGCCCCGGGTTCCGAGGAGCCCAGACCGCACAGACCGAGCTCCTGGCCGCCGTCACACGAGGTGGGAGTGCAGCCCCAGGTCAGGGACGAGGTCTGGGCGCCCGGGCTGCAGGCCCTCACGCCAGGCCGGCCCGCTCCAGGTCCTGGGGCAGGATCTGGCCCTTCTTGCGGGCCTTGTCCAGGCGCCGCTCGGCCCGGGCCGCCTTCTTCTTGCGCAGGTTCTGCCGCCGCTTGTCCTGCCGCCGCTGCATCTTCTCGACCACTTGGGCCGTGCGCTTCTCCCACCTGCGCTTCCGCTGCTCACGCCGCTTCTCCTTGCGCTTTAGGGCCTCCTGCAGCAAGTGCTCGTCATCACGGATGCGCACGCCCTCGGCCTTGTACAGCAGGTTGGTCCACTGCATCTTGCTCTCCAGCTCCCGTGCCTTCCCCTCGTCCTGGATCCGCAGCTCCTCCAGCCGAGCCTGCCGTGCCTGCAGGCGCTCCAGCAGCTGCCGGTAGTTCCTGCCCGTCAGCGGCGCCAGCTTCCCCTTCAGCTTCTGCCTCTTCTCCTTCCGGCGCTGGGCCTTGCTGGCTGCTTGCTCCTCGGTCACCTCCACCTCAGAAGTAAGAGTTGCAACCCAGGTGAATTACATCTTTACGGTGCCTTTCCCTCGAACGCTCACGAGCACCCCCGTGGGCAGGCACCGGTCGCTACCCCACTTTGCAGATGGGCAGTTGTGGGCCAGAGGTCACACAGCCAGCCAGGGGTAGAGCCCGGGTCCCCACGCTCCATGGCTGTGTCCGCCCCTCACCTTATTGAAGAGCAGCCCCGGCTGCACCTCCTCGTGGGGCTGCTCGTGGGGCCGCTCGTGGGGCGGCTTGGCAGCCTCCGCAGCCTTTGCCACCTTCTCCTTTGCCCTCAACTCCCTTCGTTTCCTCTTTTTCCGGTCCCGCTCCTGCTTTCTCCGCCTTCTCTTCTCCAAAGCGGCGGGAGACAGCTCCGTGTTGTGTCCCTGGAGAAAGAAAGCAAAAACTCATGTATAAGGTCCTTCCGGTTTGGGGAGCCCCGGTCTGGGACGTGGAATCAGGGCAGGAAAGCAGGTCAGGAGACTGTTGAGTAAGACAAGATGCCCACTGACTTCAGTGCTCCCCTGTGAAATGATCTATCACCTAGAACACAAGGGACCCCCGAAAGGACAAGAGAGCCCCCGAGTTCACGGTTTCCAGTCCCCAGGCGCGTCACACTAGGGTGCTTTATAAACACGGTTACTCTATCTTCCTGATACTCCCATAGGGAACATGTCCTACATCACTTCATAGATGAGAAGAACAGGCTCAGGCAAAGCCACCAACCAGAATGTGACATCAGGTCAGAATGACTCAGTGCCCGTGCTGACCATGGCACCATTCTGCTGGTGACATGTCTGACCCCTTCCTTCTGGAGGCCAAGAAGAGAACCCTAGACCAGGCTGACCCAGACCTGCATGCAGGACCAGGCCCGGAGCTTGGACCCCTCCTTAGGAATGACCCCCGGGCTTATCCCCGGGCAGATGCCCAAAGAAGCTGGGGGACCGTCCCCACACAGCAAGAGGCCCAGGGCATGTCCCCAGGAAAGGGCAGGTGGTGGCTGAGTGGGAGGACGACAATGCTAGCACAAACAGCTCAGGCTGGTTCAGGTCTGGTGCTCCCTGTGGAGATCACCTCATCTCAGGTCCTCGCCTAACTTATAGGGCTGTCGTGACACTTTGGGGGACGGAAGTGCTGCCTGGTATGTTCAGCAAAGGCAGCTTTCCAGAGAGAGGAGGCTGAGCCTCTTTCGAGGACACGAGGAATCTGCAGCCCAGCACAGATCATACAAGGTAGGTGACCCTGGGAACGGAGGCTCCCCGAGATGCTGCAAACCACACCTGATCTCTTGCCAAACAAAGCTGCCAAGGCCCTGGCAGGACCCGCTACAGGGGTGGGAAGAGCAGCTGAGGTCCCTCCTGTCAGCCCTACAATGGCTGCCAGAGCTGGGAGCCAACCCCACAAAGAGCACCAAGGCACCTTCTCCTCCAGGCAGAGCAGGGAAACCACTGCAGTAAACCACACTGCTCCCTGAACCCCAGCAGCCTCCCCACTCACCTGGCCCCGGGCCTCCCGCATTTTTTCATGTAGCCGCTGCCTCACAACATCCAGGGCAAAGAGAGAGTCAAGCTCTGTGACCAGGGTATCTGTAAGGAAGGAGGTGGAGAGCTAAGAAGAAAACCCCTCCCTGATCGTCCCGTCCCTTTTCCCAAGGCCCAGCTTCAAAGCCTGAACCTCCACACACTGCCCCCCCCGCCACGACCGCCAGGTGGCCACTCGTCCACCTACAGGGTAGTTCCAGTAAATTCTACTCCACCTCTTCAGGCTGGACTGGCCCCTAGGTCGTCCTCCAGAACAGAACACCCCTGTGTGGTGTGACAAAACACTTCCTACAGGTCAAGCCAAACCCATCTCTCATTTCTTCCAACTTCTGCAGCCTGGGTTTCCTTACGTCTCTCCACAAGTCAGTTCTCATGACTCCCCTTCAGACATCTGCGGGGACTGAGGCGCTGCAGGGCAAGCTGCTCCAGGTCCTTAGGGGGACGTGACCTTGCCCCTCACCAGACCCAGTTGCCAAGTGACCTGGAACCACCGTGTACTTCCAGGGATCTCATCTACCCAAGAGCCCCTGGGATCTGTCCCCTGAAAGCTCACTCTATGGAAAGTCTCAAGGTACCCCAGTGTGCCTGGCACCATATTTTCTTAGGACCATGTTTTCACCTGATCTCAGCTGGCCCTGCTCCACATCCCCATCTGCTGGAGATCCCATGGAGCTGAGGGCCTCTCCTTCCTCAGGTACTGCTGGCTTTTTGGCCCTGGAAGATGCTGGAGACTTTTCCCCCGGAGCCTGGGTCTTCAGCTCCACAGCCTTTTCCCGTTCCCGGGATTTCTTCTGCGCTTTCTTCCTCTTCTTTTTTGGGGGTCCAGCAGCTTCGGAGCCTCGAGTTTTGCTGGCTGAAACACAAAATTAAAAAGGGCTGCAGTCCCAATCTTTGCCACCCATTCAACCGGCAGGAAAAGTCTTGCAAAAGCTTTGATCCCAAAAGGAGGCTGAGAGTGAATCAGGAAGGATGACCCACCCTTATCTGTAGAGCTCAGACTCACAAACCCTAGAAAGCAGATCAGCGACACATCTCAAAACCCTGAAAAACATCCACACTCGACCCAGCAGTCTGCTTGTGAGAATCCATTCCGGATATGCACAAAGATATGGCCTCAGAAATACTCACCACAATGTTGTCTGAGAGAAAAACTAGGAAAACCTAAATACCCATCTACAATGTCAAGTTAAGGCACTGCTATGGATAAGGAGCTGCGAAATGACACAGGTTTCATTTTAACGAATCAAGTAAGGTTCACATTTACCGGGTAAAATGACAACACAAAGTAGAGTGTTTTAATACATAAACTATGCTCATGGAAAAAAACCTAAAAAGACATAAACCTAATAACCGACTACTTAAAAAAACTCACTTAATTTTTTAACTTTGTATAGTGAACACGCTTGCTTTGCATAAAAACAAAAGGTCGTTTTTTTCCTCTAGCTCCCTGCAGCCCCTGCCACTCTCCCCTCCTCCCGGCCCAGGCAGCACTCCCAAGTCCCAGCTCCTGTGGGGCCCGCCTTCGTTTCACTTGCCTGTGTATCGACCTCCCAGCCACCCATGCCCCGTAAAGCCTCATTGCCAGGAGGCATCCCGGTTCCCTGCTTCTCGCTACTCTGCCCACTCTACCGGGTCACCTCCTCCAAGCCCCGCAGGAGCTGCCCGCCCTGTGAGCGGATGGAGCTGGATCTCCCGGAACCCCTAGGCTGATGCCCACAACAAGCAGGGAGACAGCAGCAACTTTAAACACCCCTTGTCTGTCTTCCTAGAATCTTACAGGCGTGTTTCGCGCATCTACGTGTCTAACCCAGCCGAAAGCTACAGGGTACAGTGCGGGGCACGCCGGCCGGCCGCAGCGGGCGGTGCAGCACCCCCCACCACCAAGTCCTCCCAGGTCCGACCCCGGGCGGCGCATTACCGGACTTGCGTTTCTGCGGCTCCGGGCTGGGCTGGCAGCAGATTTTCCTGGCCAGGCCCTGCAGGTAGGCGTCCTTGGCGAGCAGAGAAGCCATGGCGGCAGTCTCCGCGGCCCTCCTTGTGTGGCACAGACACTACCCCGGCGGCTTCCGCCGCGCCACCCACGCCGGAAACCGCGCGTCGCGCAGGCGCCGCCGGCCGAGCGCCGAGCCGCCAGCGCGCGGTGCTCGATTAGCCAGGCTTGGCCTGACCGGAAGAAGCGCGTGGGGCGGGGCGCAAAGCATTGTGGGCTTTGGGCGGGTTCCGTCGTTCCCGGGCACCGCCCGCGGACCCGGAAGGAGCTGGCGACCCCGCCTCTGCCCCCCGCCCGCAGCACTGTGCCGCGTCCACTGTAGGCGCTCAGTACCTGGGGGCAGCAAGACAGACCCGCCGTGGTTCAGGCCTCTGGGGACTCGAATCCCAAGCGGAACCTGGCGAGAGCACGTCCGCTCAGAGAGGACCGCGCGCCTAGCAGGTGCGGGGCGTGCTCCAAGCGCTGGAAAAAACACGCACCAGTGTCCTCGGCAAGTTTGCGTTTCGGTGGTGACGGGTGAAAAGTAAGACAGGCACAGGATGAGTCGGGTAATAGTGCTCCGGAGAAAGGTCCGGGAGGAAAGGGATGTGAGGTGTTGTAAGGAGGATGCTGGGGCGCTCAGGGAAGACCCACTGGAATCTTTGCTCCCAACAGTGCAATCACAGACTTAAGATTTACAACAAGGCTTCTCCCTTAAGAACTGACGGGGGGTGGGGCACCTGGGTGGCTCAGTCGGTTGAGCGTCTGCCTTCAGCTCAGGTCATGATCCTGGGGTCCTGGGATCGAGCCCCAAGTAGGACTCCCTGCTCAGCGGGGAGTCTGCTTCTCCCTCTTCTTCTGCTGCGCGCTCTCATTCGTTCGTTCATACGTACGTACATAATAAATAAATAAAATTAAATATAAAATTAAAACTTAAAAAAAGAACTCGGGAAGGAAAGGAGTGTTCACCAGCCTGAGGCTGGAGACCCCCCCCCACCTGGTTCCTTAATTCATAGCAATGACAGGCTTTGACACAACCCAGAGCCCTTTGAGGGTTGCCTTGGGGTGAGTAGAGAAGGGGGCCTTGCGATATTCATCAGGGGAAGGGAGAGACTGGGGCATGGGTTTATAAGTTACAACCTCAAAGTATATTTAAGAAGGCTTCTGATGTTATATTTGAAGCACTAAGGATTTAACTTTCTACCCCTAATCTCTGTCATGAGGTGCTTGAGGAGAGGATAGCTTCATCGCCTTCCCCCACAGATTTTCGGGGCACACAGTCTAATCTCTGTCCAGCACACTCACTGAGCCATAAACGTTCTTCCTGGCACCGTCAGTTTTAACCATCGAAGCCAGACGGATTGAGGGACAGGGATGTGGGCGGGGAATGATGGGCCCTCTTTCAGTGAGACTTCTGGTCCACACCACAAGTCTGGGGTTCTCTGTCCTGCGTCACCATCTCCAGCGAGGTCTTTGAGGCTTTCCTGAGGTCTTTGCTGGACGGGGGGTAACGGATGCCAGCAGAGTTGCCACCGAGAAGGGAGAAAAAAGTTGAGTTCCGAGTGCAAATCTAGATTTATGGGCCTTAATTTTAAGTTCCCTTTTCTGTGAGAGTTGTCTGGAGCGTTTAACCAGCTAATCCTACCTCCTCCCTGAAATCCTGACCTCACAGGACTTTGGGAACCCCAGATGACAGGCCTTCCTCCTACCTACCTGCTCTCTCCTCTCTGGGACTCACTTCCCTTTTCTGTCAAGTCTTACTGCACAGTGACCCTCCTCAGGGCTCCTGACTTGGTGCTGATGACTCTCCTGAACTCCAGGCCCCCTTTTGGACATCTGAGACACATCTCCATGAGTATGTACAGAGCCCTGCCTCCCCCCACTGCCTGCCTTCTCTGTCTCAGTGAAGCCCACTCCATGCTTCGAGGCTCAGACCTTGAAGCCACCCTGCCTTCTCTCATTCCCCACACCCAGACCTTGAGCAAATCCTGTTGGCTGTCCCTTAAAAGTATCCCTGGGGGAAGCTCAGTCAGTTGGGCGTCTATTAGTGTCGCCTCCCTCCCCCCGCCGCCCTGCCCCGTTCTGCCTCTCTGCCCCTCCCCCACTCATGCACTCTAAAATGGATAAATCTTTTTAAATAAATAGACAGGTATTGAGGGGCGCCTGGGTGGCTCAGATGGTTAAGCATCTGCCTTTGGCTCAGGTCATGATTCCAGCGTCCTGGGATCGAGTCCCGCATCGGGCTCCCTGCTCCTTGGGAGCCTGCTTCTCCCTCTGCCTCTCTCTCATGAATAAATAAAATCTTTAAAAAAAAAAAAATAGACAGGTATCGAGAACTGTACTTGACCCACTCCAGACCACCACCCTGATCCTGTTGTAGATTTCAAAAGACTAGAAGAAATAGTAAGTAAATGCAATACAAAATAAAAATAAGTATAACAAGACACTTGGAGAACAACTGGGGAAAGTAGAATGTGTCATGATCCTAGATGCTATTATGGAATGATTGTTCACTTTGGGCCTGATGCTGGCCTTGAGCCGTGGAGAGTGTTCGTTTTTCTTAGAGAGGCAAGCTGGCAGGTATTTAGACGTGAGGTGTCATGAGGAGGCCTGCAGCTATTAAATCAGGTGGTTTTTATAAACGAGAGCACAAGTAAAGGTGCAAAAGGTGAATCCAGAGATGCGTCTGTGTGGGTGTTCTTTATGCGACCTTTATGCCTTCATCAGGGGTTTGAACGGTAAAACACTTGCAATACAAAGGTGGGATGACTGAGGACCACCCAGGGTTTAGCGGCGTGGAGGCCACTGGGGACCCTAATACATGTAGCTCGGCTGGGGCCATGGAGACAAAACCTGCAGGAAGCTGGCTCAGAGGAGAGCTGCAAACAGCCCGTTTCTCCAGTGAGTTCGTTCTGCTGCCGGGGCATGGGCTGGAGAGGAAGAGGTGGTGGAGAGCTGACTCGCTTTAGGAGGGGAGAAACAACTTCATTTTCCAATGGGAGCATTGGCCCAGCCCAGGAGAGCGTAACGCCGATGGTGCAGAGATCTTGCTGCTTGGGTGTTTGGAAATTGAAGACACTCGAAACCCCACCATCAGGTTTGGTCGACTCCAGGCTTTTCCCCACATGGGCTTCCATTGGTTTTAATCCCTCTTTCTGTCGTTAGTGTTAAGTACAAGTTATTTCTGCAATTAAGGTGTTTTGGGAAGAGCTCATCACCTAGTTTCTCAATGGGAAAACAACTTCCCCAGACCACCCCAGAAAACCAGGACCAGACCCAGGACTGGGCCCCGTGGTCCCACTTTTGTGGTGCCTCTGCTTGGCTATGGGGGGTGGGGGGTTGGTCTCTGGGATCCAGCATAATTCAGCATGTGTCCCTCCCTGTTCTTGAGACTGGATTGTGGGCTGTCACCTCCCCTACATACCGACCCATGTCTCCCTCATGAGGAGATAAGGCATGCTGGTGACAGGGCACGGGGTTGAAGTCCTAGTTCTTCTGCTGTGACACCACCCCCACCCCCACCCCCACCCCCCGCGCCTGTGAGCCTGGCGCCGAGGCATCGGGCCCAACATTCCCTGTGGGTTGAGTCCTGACTTCTGCTGCTTCATCTCCCAGCTCAGTGACCGCGGACACAACACTTCAGCCCCTTCCAAGCCTGTGGCCACTCCTCCTCCACCTGTAGTGCAGGTGACTACGGCACAGACTCTGGGTGCAATGAGGACAAGAGGGACCAGAAGTGCAGGCACCCGGACCTTAGAACACGCGGCAATGGCAGCGGTTTTTCAATCACCAAATATTAAGGACTTTCTAGATCCCAAGCAGTTCTAGGCAATGGCAGTGCAGCCACGGCCCCAAACTGACCAAGTCCCTGCCCAAGCCCAAGGCTGTGCAGGCAGATCCTAAGGGTGGTCCCAGAGTGGGCCAGGATTAGCAAGAAAGAGCCAACCAATGCAAAAGGGCAGTGCTGTTTTTATTCAACTGTCTTATTGGAAAACTACCAGAACATACATGGCAGAATTAGGAAGGTCCCCGTCCTGGCTTCGGTGAGAGCAGGCAGCATCTCTCTCCCCGCCACAGCCCTGCGGGGACAGTCACCTACTGCAGGGACCCTTAGGACAAGGCAGCAGGTGTAGCTCTGCACAGAGAGCCTGGCCTGAGAGGGGGAGTCTGGACTTGGCTAATACTGTCCACTCTGAGCAGCATCGTGCAGCTTTTAAATAGCAGGACATCCTCCTGCCCCACTACCGGGCCCTCAACAGGACTGTCCAGGAACCTTCTGCCCAGCCGACCAGGAGGGTTGTGAACAGAGGTGACCACTCAGAGGGAGATGGGCCACCTTGGAAACGGTTGGGGGAGCTACTTTTCCCCAACACTCCTGGCGGCGGTAGGGGGGCAGCTGTCCCTGGGCTAAAGTTCGCAAGGGGAAGCAAGGCTGAAAGGAGCAAAGCTGTGGCGAGCCCGGAAGGGACACCAGACTTCCTAAGAACCTAGGGGTGTGGGGAGGGGAGCCCTGGGAGGCTCAGGCGTGCTCCGTGGGGCCAGGGCCGCCGGCATGGGAGTGGGCAGGGGCCGCAGCCTGCAGGGGGCCAGCGCTGGGCTCCGGGGACGCCAGCACAGGGGCCGAGAGGCCATCAGCAGAGTCTGTGTCGAGGTCCAGCCTCCAGTACGCTTCGCACAGAGGCAGGTCATTAGCTTCGCAAAGACTTGAGCTTTTCCACCACCAGAAACCCAGGGAGAGACAGGAGCAGGCAGAGACGGACGGAAGCCGGGGCGGGGCGTGGGGGCGGGGAAGCAAGATAGAAGCAGAGTTACGAAAACACAGACCACACCCCAAACCTGCCTTTCCCCTCTTCTTCTCTGTGCTGGCCCCTCTCTACACAGGCCTGGCTACGGTGCGTGTGGGGCTGCCCTTGCTTCAGGGTCCAATACAGCATCCTACAGGAGGGGCCCTTCCAGGACCAGCCACCAGCAGGCTCTGTGACCTTGGCAGGTCCCTCTGACTGACCAAGTGTATTTCCCAACGGACAGCCACAAGGCTGAGCC